TTTATCAAAATATCAAACTACATCATAATTATAACATATGAATTAATTTTTTAAAAAATTAGAGATGGGTCACGTTGATCACTGTACAATTGATATACGTACTGAATTACCACACTGTACTTCAAAATTCTGTATAATTGAAATATTTACAAGGTCAAAGGTGAAATTATCTTAAAATCACAGAAAGTAAAAATATAACAAAACAGAATGGATAACAAAGCACACAGAGTATGATGGGAAACTGAACCTCAGTTTATTATTACATTAAATCTAGCTAGCTGAGACATGTGGGTTAAAGTAACATTGTGTGATTGTATTTAATAGAATAGTTTTTAGAGATATATTTAATACATTTAAAATAATGGGAAATAATGAGAATACAATGTATGAGTTTTAAGTAATGGCAATATAACTTGCAACATGAAATATACTATAAAGTAGATTTCCATTATTACCTAATTATAGTGCTTTGATTTTTACATTGAGCCAGGGGCTTCCTATATCTCTCGGGTAGGTTTCAGCTCTTGACCCTCCTGATTTAGCTTCCCAAGTACTGAGATTACAGGCATACACTGACTTTGTCATTAGATGTCTTTTTTCCTACATTTTATTGACACATATTAGTTATTAGTTGTACCATATGGGGGATTCCACTGTGATAATTCCATATCTGTATACAGTATACTATGATCATATTCAATGCCTCTATTATTTTATTATCCACCAATTTTGCCTTTTTATTCTTACCTGTTAATTTTATTAAAAAAAATGAAAAAGAGAGCTACCATATGACCACTTCTAGACAAATACACAAAGGAATGTAAATCAGGATACAAGAGAGAGCCTTGAACACCAATGTTTATTGTGCCACTATTTATTATAGCCAAGTTATTGGAAATAGCCCATATTCCACACAACTGATGAGTGGATTTAGAAAATATGATGTATACATGTATATATATATTTATATACGTATGTATGTATTAATATATACATACATGTATGTTTTATATATGCAATGAAATATTATTGAGCCATAAAGAATAATGAAATTATGTTGTTTGCAGGTAAATGGAGTAGGAATATCATGTTAAGTAAAGTAACCCAGGTTCAGAAAGATAAAAGTCACCTGTTTTCTCTCATATGTTGATAAATTCAAAAGTTAAATGTATAAAAAATGATCACATACTGCATAAAATTTTTATTTATAACATGTTTGTAATAGTGGAACTGTTTTTTGGAACGTCAGTGAAGAGGCAAAGGAAAAGAAAATGATAGTCAAAAATACTTAAATGCATTACATCTGTGCAGGTAGTTGACAAAATAATATGAACTAAAAACTGTTGAATCATAAGGGATATGTGTGAAAGGGAAAGGGAGAGAAATTAAGGGTGTTAAACTGATCAAAACATAGCATATTCACAGCAGAGATACATGGAGAAACCTCTTTGACCAATGACTTTGGCATTAAAAATGAAAGACAAGATTGTAAAATAGGTCCTGTTAAAGGGTAAGTACCTGTGTGGGGAGATAATGGAAGGGATAAAGGAGTGTGAATATGGCTGTGATACTTTATACACATATATAAAACTTTTTGTAATTGTTCTAAGTAGGGGGCAGTGGGATGACGAAGAGACATCATGGGGATGAACTTAACAAATTTGCAATGTAAGCATATTCAGAAATATTGTAAGGAATCCTATCTGTACAACAAATATATGCTAATAAAATACTTTGAAAAATTTATTTCATTGTGATCACTTCATACTTGCATACAATGTTCTTCAATCATATATTGTAATGTAAAAATGTTATTAGTGCATGGTAGCAAATATGTTACTTATTATAATACACACATACACACAAACACATAAATATGCAAACATGCATTTTACAAATTGCCTTCTCATCTAATGTGTAGCAAATATGTTTAAGTACCTCATTTGAATACACACATGGCAATCATGTGTGTATTTTTTAAAGTATCAACCTTAACACTTTCTGTCAGTTTTATAATGTTAATGAAGTCTTAACATATTAAAATTTTTCCTATACTGGAGAAATAACCATGTTGCTTCTTTGGAGATTTATATGCTATCATCTCCACATAAAATGAATGGCTTCATAACTTTCCTTTCCAAATGAATATTTCTCTGATGTTTCTAGGGAATTTGAATAAAACAAGCTTCTTCTTACTTCCTCAACTTTGAGGCAGGAGAGTATTCATTCACCCTAATCTATTACTTTCCAACATGGCCAAACAGCATCTTCCCATTATAAAGAAGAAATTACCTTCAATAGTTTCAGAATTCCATGGAACATTAGACAGCATGTGCATTTAAAATAACCAACGCTTGTGTCATTGAAAAAATAAATCAGGTTTGAAGGTGTGGCTCAACTGGTATAGCCCTTGCTCACCATGCCCAGGACCCTGAATTCAAACTCCAGTACTACCATAACAAAAATGTAGAAAAATTTTAACAATCAGTAAAACATTTTTGTGTTCTCCCTTGTCTCATTCCCGTTCATTTTGTCTGTTTATAAGTGTAAATGCACCAAATACCTGATCTCTCTCCATAGAAACATAATTTAAAAATCTATCATCTCTTTTAGGATGTAAAGTACAAATTTTATGAATCAGCCCTACCTAAATGCTTCTACTGACTTTGAAAACAACCTTCACATATGTTAACTCAAGATTTTACCTACTCACTGAAATATATAAAACCATGAGCCAAAACTACTACACCAACTGCTTGAGTTTATCTGATTTGGTCTACTATGACACTGTCTTTTTCGTGCACACACACACACACACACACACACACAAACACACAAAAACTACTTGTATCATAGTTATTCAAAAATTTTAACTGAATGTATTTGCATAGTTTTTCAAAATATAAATTGAAAAACTATTCTCTGCATTCTACCAGCCCAGAAAAGATCATGTATCAAAAATTGGGTATGTTTTCATAAATTAAATACAAGTGTCATAGATTATGGATTTTAATTATACTCCTACATATTCTTGAGATAGTTTATGGATTTTAATTATGCTCCTACATATTCTTGAGACATTCTTAATGTCAGTAATTAAAAATATAAATTTTAGAATGTATGCAAATTATTTGAATGTTTAAGGCCTCTGCAGAAAGGGATTCATACAGACATCATTCTGCTTTGTCACCTATTAAGTAGGATTATTAATTATTAGTAATCCTATTAAGTAGGATTAGACGTCGGTTTAATACTTATTTTCCATAGTCTAGAAAAATGGTGAGAGGAAATATTGGTGTGAGAGTAATAATTCAGACATTGAAATCTGGTTTTAAAACATTAAAGAGCATTTCAGTTTTATTATTAGAAACAAATTGAAATTAGTCCTATCCTAGATAAGATAGTCTTAAAATCCATGCATGGTTCCTGGTCAAAATATAGATCACAAGCAAGGAGAAGCATTGTTTGTTTGATATGATGATTTTAGACGTCAGTATTATCCATTTTAAACACCGATGCTAACAAGTTCTATATGTTGATTTGGGATTCATTTACAATGATTCAAAGAACTGTTTTCATTTTTCTCTTATCTTTCTGAAGCCTTATTTTTCTCACAACATATTATTGAAGATAACAAACTACTACTACTAAGAATATTCATCTGTACTTTAACGAGTGATGGCTAATACAATTCATTTCAAATATTCAGAATTATCCTTATTATATGGAAGAATAATTTCCTGGACACCTACCTCTGATTGACTTTCATTCTGCTGACAATTCAAGAACAAAACACATCAACCTTTAGAAATTCAAAATGGATTTTACATTTGCCACTATTAATTCATGGAACCACTGATCAGAATGATGCCTTCCTCACATAGTGTAGACCCTTATAATGCTAATGTAGCAGGACATTTTCATATAAACACTCAGAAAAAAATATAAGCTAAATTGATTTGAGCATGAAGTTAATATCAATATTCTTATTTCCTAGAAACCTAGAAAAAATATGTATTGCTTTGATTGTCAATCTTTCTCTACACTCTGCTTTTTCATGAAGTCTGAAATTGTTAGTGTCTTGGACCTTTTTAGTTGAATTCTCCACTGTTAATTAATGTGGATGTTTTGTTAAATACTTCTCTATATTCAGGACATTTTTACATTATTACTTATCCTAAACTGTCTGGGGATTTCAAAGGATTAAAGTAACTTCATTCTTCATTTCATGTGTAGAACTGTTTAGTATTATTTTCTGATGTATAGTAATGGGTCAAAAATCTTTATCACATCATTTACATTTGTTAGGTTTCTCCCCGGTATTAATACTCTACTGTGAAGTATGACATGTCTTCATTAAAGAGCTTCACACATTGCTTAAATTGTAGTTTTCAGGATAAATTAGATGATGCTTTCTAAGGCTCAAGCCACTGGTAAATAATCTGTCACATTTGTAGCACTTGTAATGTTATTCTGTATTATGAGTTTTTGTGATGGTGGCAAAGGTTTAAGCTGGATTTAAATGATATGCTACATTCCTTAGTTTTGTAAGCTTTCTCTCCAGTATGGATTCTATGATAGCTGCAAGTGGTAGAATACCCTGTAAATTATTTCCTACATTCTTTCTATTTAAGGGGATCCTTTCCAGTATGTATTCTCTGCAGCTGATTAAGTTCTCATTAATTATTGGAGGCTTTATCTAATTCCTTACATTTCCAGGGTTTCTGTCCAGTATAGACTCTCTAATGTCCAGGATAGGTTAAACCTGTGAGGTTTGAAGAAGTTATAGAAGGGTTTTCACAACATTTATATCTGTAGGGTTTACATCCAGTATGGATCCTCTGATAGTGAGTTTCAAGGAATTATAGAAGGACTTGTCACAATCTTTATATTTGTAGGGTTTCTCTCCTGTGTGGATTCTGTGATGCACAACAAATTGTGAGGAAGAAGCAAAAGCTTAATTACTCTTTGCATTTGTAGGGTTTTTCTCCTGTATGGATTCAGTGATGAACAACAAGTTGTGAAGAATAAGCAAAAAATTTACTACATTCTTTACATTTGTAGGGTTTCTTCTCGGTGTGGATTCTATGATGCTGAATAAGATGTGTGGTAAAGAAAACATTGGCCACACTCATTATACTTGTAGGGTGTCACTCCAATATGAATTTTTTATGCTAATAAAGAATTTAGTAACAACAGGTTTTGTTACATTCTTTTGATTTGAAAGGTTTCTCTCATGTGTGGATTCTTTGATGAACAACAAGTTGTGAGGAAGTACCAAAAGATTTATTGCACTTTTTACATTTGTAGGGTTTCTCTCCAGTGTGGATTCTATGATGCACAACAAGTTGTGAGGAAGAAGCAAAAGATTTACTACATGCTTCACATTTGTAGGGTTTCTCTCCGGTGTGGATTCTATGATGCACAATAAGATATGAGGAAGAAACAAAAGATTTTGTACACTCTTTACATTTGTAGGGTTTCTCTCCTGTGTGGATTCTGTGATGAACAACAAGCTGTGAGGAAGAAACAAAAGATTTACTACATTCCTCACATTTGTAGGGTTTCTCTCCAGTGTGGATTCTGTGATGAACAGTAAGATGTGAGGAAGAAGAAAAAGATTTACTACACTCTTCACATTTGTAGGGTTTCTCTCCAGTGTGAATTCTATGATGAACAACAAGTTGTGAGGAAGAAGCAAAAGATTTACTGCACTCCTTACATTTGTAAGGTTTTTCTCCAGTGTGGGTTCTCTGATGGATGACAAGTGTTGAGAAACAAGCAAAAGATTTACTACACTCTTTGCATTTGTAAAGTTTTTCTTCTGTGTGAATTCTCTGATGCTTAGTGAGGTATGAGGAACTACTGAAGAATTTGTCACATTTTTTACATTTGTAGAATTTCTCTCCAGTGTGAATTTTCTGTTGCACATCATCTTGTAAGGGATAAGCAAAAGATTCACTAAATTCTTTACATCTGTCTACATAAATGCTTGATGTGCACTTTAACTTAGTCCCATGGTCAAAATCATTTAAATGATTAGTTACCTCATGGTCTCCATTACTTTTCAGATATTCAGTATTTCTGCTCAGAGTTAATTTCTGTTTCAAAAATTGATGTGGACTCTTCATTACAGAAGCACCTGATTCAGAAAAATTAAATGATGTAAAATGAGCATTGCTTTCAGGTAACTGATATTCCTTATCTTTTTTGTCAGTGAAGTTTGTGTCAAGCATAGTTGTGAGATTGATATGTCTATTTTCACTTGTTTTCTGTGCTTCACAATAATGTCTGTTTTCCCAGGCTTTCCAGAGGAGAAAATTCTCAGGATCAATACTTTCATGTTGTTTCAATATAACTTTTTGGAATGCATGTTGCATACTGTCTTCTGTAAAATTTTCTTGGGTGTCTTGAGAAAACATATCTGAAAGAAGTGAAAATAAAAATTAATCATGTTTACTGCAGTCTGGGTTACATACTTTAGCAAACTAATATACAAAATTATACCTATTTGAGGACATTAGAAAAACATAATAGAATTTTTCAGGCCCTCATTCATCCATGACTACACAAATATAAATGCAATGTCCTGCCCAAATTACCCTACAAAATTATAAAGCTCAGAGTGATTATTCAGCATTCTAGTTGAGTTTCATTCACTAGGGTAGAGGGAAGGGTGTGTTTTTCAGAGCACTTCTCTTTCCATACCAATGCTGTATCTTACACATAGGAAAAACTCTCCCATCTTTACTTATTTCTCATAAGAGGCTAAGAATAGAGGATCAGTGCATAATGAAGTTATAATGGAAAAGAACATGTTCATGTTCTTGGCTTATGTGTGGTAACCCTGAAGTTCGTTCCCTTATGTGGTGTGTTCAGGAGAAAAATGGTATATTATGACTGAGAGTCTGATTCATCTCAGACCAAATATTGAAGATTTTTTGATACCAGAAACTTATTCTTAAGAATATAAGAAACAAATCCTCTCCAACTTGAATGACACAGACACAATTTCAGGGAAGATATACACTGACAAATGTACTAAGAAGCTCAAAAATCTCTACCATGTCTAATTGGTGTGAGGTTTTCTGGATGAAGACAAGACCTATTTTATGACAGATTGCTGTTTGATTATTCATTTATGTGTTAAATCCACAGATAAAAGATGTATATTTATATTTCAAACATTATTATAAAGTAGTTATCATGCAATGATGAAATATACATGATTTACATTTGCAATACTACAGAATGTTAATGTTTAATCAGTGAAAAAATTTTATGTGATTTCTCATACGATATTCCAAGAATACAATATACTGATAACTCTTGTTTAATATATCTTTTATGTATTCTACCTATGAATCTGAAATACTGTATCTTCTCCTGAAATTTCCCAAACCTCACAAGCTTAGCAATAAACATTTGCATTCTATGTCTATGAGCTCAAGATTTCAGCACATAAAAGTGATATTATTTGTCATTTGTTATACAGGAACAGCTTATTTAACTAAGGAATGTGTCCATTAAGTTGATTCATTTTACAAATAAAATGATTTACTTTCTTTTTATTGTGGCAGTACTGGTGTTTGAACTCAAGCCTTCACAATTGTGAGTCAGGCATTCCACTGGTAGAGCCATAACTCCAATCTCAATCATGTACTTTTAAATAACTAAAATTATTGAATTCATAATATATATATATATATGTTTATATGTATGTTTCACATTTACATATGCATATCACATTTGTCTATTCATTCATACATGATGGTTTCATATTGATTTCATATATTGGCAATAGTGAGTAGTGCCTTAGCAAACATGGTTATACAGATATCCTTACCAGTTTTCAGTTCCTCTGGACAAATAGCAAGTAGTTGGACTTACATAGTATATGATAGTTCAATTTTTAATTTTTGTGGAATTGCTCTACAATTTTACATAATTGATGAAATATTCTACAAATAATAGTTTGTTTTTCTGTACTGAGGCTTGAACTCAGGCCTACAACTTGAGCCACTCCACCAGCCCTTTTTTTGTGAAGGTTTTTTTTTCAAGACAGGATCTCATTGAACTATTTGCCGAGGCTGGCTTTGAATCATGACCTTTCAGATCTCTGCCTTCTGAGTAGCTAGGATTACAGGCATGAGCAACCAGTGCCTGGCAAATAATAGTTTTAATGACAAAATCGACCATATATAACAAAGCATACAATGAATTAGGAAATATGATCCAATCAAAGTAATCAAATTCCAGAAATCAAGTGTAAGAAATGGGGATTAATGAATTACTGGGATATTTCAAACTAATCATCTCAAATGTCCTCATTGGGATAAGCAAAAGCAGAGAAAACTAACAAGTCAGGAAACTGAACGCATCAGCAATAAGATAAAAACAGTAAAAAGCAGAGATTGGGAGATGAAGAATACAATAAGAAATAAAGGGTTAAAAATTCTCCAAATTGAGGAAGGTAACAGACTTAATAACTCAACAATACAACAACTACATTAGCATAAACAAAAAGAGAAACAAAATAAAAGTTATTATGTTTTGAAATCTGCATAGGACAAAATCTTGAAAGCTGTATAATAAAGTGATCTGTCATCTGTTTGTGTGCTCCTATTGAGAAGAGAAACAGACATAACCAAAATAGGTGAAGAGTCATAGAGCAACAAGTATAATTTTATTGGCTCTCAAAATATGCCTGATTTATGTTTTACTTTTCAATCACATTTTCTTAAGTTGTAAAATTATGAAGATGATCATTTAAATGATAATTTATACATAATACAAAAATGAGTTTTACTAATGCTAAGAAAATAAAACAACATTCTGGAATTCTAAAATAATAGGAAAAAACTAACCCGAATATCCTGACTACTGACACATATTATATTAAAATAAGTATCCTAGATAAAAATTTTAAACATTAGCTCTTCTCATGAGATTCAGAAATTTTAAAATAACACGCATTCTGCAGCAAAAAAAGTCTACAACATACAACATCAATCTAATGAGAAAGTAATAAATGATTTTTAAATGTTATTAGTGCAACATCTTGTTTTTTTAAAAAAATACTGTTGCTCACTATTTATTGTTAAATAAAGTCAAGGCTAATACTAACCAATACATAGGTATTCATAACTTCTTATAAATGCACTTGAAATACTAATCAAGGGAATAGATGAAGGTGCTGAAAAACATGATGAGGACATGTCAAACCTCAACAGTTCAAAAACAGAATACAAGATACAAACTGACAGCACTTCCTTTTGTCAAATCTGAAATAATTTGAGCAACAAACTTAACAATAATTTAGATTAGAACCCCAAAATTAATACTGATGAATCCATAAATAATTGATGGATTTTGTTAATAATGAAGAAGAGAAAAATATTGTTACAGAAGAATTCCTGTCAGTAAAGTAGAAAGCACAAAGAAAATAGAAACATCACCCTGAGGCTGGCAGAGTGACTCCAGTAGTAGAGCACCTGCCTAACAAGCACAAGACCTGTGATCAACCCCCTGTAACCACCAATAAAGTGGCTTAGAAACATCACATGGAGAACTTTGCAGTATTAATTGCTGCAGGTGAGACTCACTGATGTGCTTCCAAATGTACCTCAATAAAGGTATATCTCAATAAAGTTTGAAATGTATGAATATTACTGTTTATTTTATCTTATGAAGTTAACTCAAATACAAAATGTAATTTTCTATAGACAGAACTTTTCTTTTAAAAAAATCTAAGCATAAAATAATTGCAGAAAGTTATTGCATTTTATTAAGAAAAAACACATAATGTACTCTGATCTAATTCAGTTTATTTATATTATGCTTTAAATCATTTTTCCTCATCTCCTTCCTTTGTACACAGTTTTTGTAAGAGATAGAACCTTCTTTATTATGGTGTAGTTTTACTAAAATATTTTAGCTTATTTGTATTCTAGAGGTACTCAGAAGTTCTAAGCTTGCAAAGGCATTAGGACAGTGAGATCATTCAGATCCTCACAGGTGAAGGGGAGAATGTTAGCTCTTGCTATAAATGCCAGAAGACTATTGGAGGGCAAGTAGAACCTTCAAACTTTTAGAAAGACAATAAGCTGAGAAGAATATGCTCTGTGTCAGCAAGATAAATGAACCATGCTCCTCAACAAACTTTCCCAGGGTAGTAGTAGTTTACCAAACACATTTTCAGATCCTCTGAACCCCTGTCTAGGTACTGTGCTTAATTCATTTCTACCTACTTGGATGTTTTTCTGCTGTCCCAATTCTCTTCACTTTCCAGGGCTCGTCATTTTGCTCCAGATAGGTTACTAGATCTGGTCTGTAGATAGTGAGATCTGCATATTGGAAAAAGGAATGTGAGTCTTGCTGAGGATTCTGTATGACATACTGGGATTTTTAACATAGAATTTTGCTCACTACAAAAGAAACAACATAAGAAATGACTATAGAAATTTATTACTCACAGGTATCATTTACTGACAGCTTCTTTAGAATATTTAGGAAGCATTTTTATTTTTAAGATTTCACTCCACTTAAACTACTGCTGAATCAAAACCAAAGATTAGGAACTGGGTTTAGAATGTGGCCCACAATATTATATTCAACTGCATTTCTGAAACTGCCACTGGTTTGGGCAAGGCATGCACAAAATTCCAAGGATGGGAAGGTTAAGGTAAAAATAAAATGTCATGATTATGTTCTTTGCAATACCAAGAAATTCAAAGTGTTTTTGATGTCTGATATTTGAGATTCATTCATGGAAAGCAGACACTCCTACAAAGAGACTGCAAAGGAACAGGGAGTTTTGAAAGAAAGATATTCTCACCCATAGGAACCACATTGCTGTATTTCTCCAACATCATGTTTCTGCACAGAGCTGTCTGATCAGGGTTCAGGCATTCCCATTCCTCCTGAAAGAACTCAGTGGCCACATCCTTGAATGTCAATTGATCCTGAAATACAAATGCAGTCTGTCTAAAACAAATGTATTAAAATAGTCTATGAGATCATTTATTTTTATTGGATTATTTTGTCACACATGTAGTGTATATAAGAGCCTGGGTATTGTTCCAGTATAACTGATCTAAAATTTGTGGAACCAGAATACATAGAAAGGGCTAGCAAAGTGACTCAAGTGGTAGAGCACCTGCCTAGTAAGTGTAAGGCACTGAGTTCAAACCCCAGAACCATCAAAAATGAATAAATATAAATAGACAAACATAAACAGCCAACACAACAATTTTCAGAGGTAGTTTCCTTACTGAGGAGAATAATGAAAATGAGAAGATATCAACAACAATTGATCTAATAATGTGTATTTTATATATACACAGGTGTACATAAAACATATAACTATCACATATAGTTATATACATATAACTATAACTATATGTGATGCAATAGCTGTATGATAGTGGCTGACAAATGTAATCCTAACTACATGTGAGACTGAGATTGGGAAGATCATGGTTTGAATGCAGCCCAAGAAAACAATGCACAAGACCCCCATCTCCTAATAATGTAGCAGGGAGGAGGATCAAAAGAAAACAGACTAGGCCTGAGTCCTGATAAAGTAGCAGGGAAGTAGCCTATAGAATTGAATATAATCATGTATGGATAAGAGCTTACTTTTTGTTTCTGTAACCTGCTTGCAAGGGTATACAAACTCCTTTGTTCTTAGGGTTCAGACTTTGGACACGAGTCTTCTGGGTCTGTGCTGACACAATAAATCATTATTTCCTGCTTAACTGCCTCAGTGTTCCATATCTCAGCTTGTAATTTCCCACAACACTTCTTGGGGGTTCATTCGGGATTGCAGAGACAGTGAGTTATCATCTCCCTTGTCACTGGGGTGCATCCCCCAGACTGATGGGAGGAGATCCCAACAAGCTCCAATGGACAGCTCGATCCAGAGGGGAATTCATCTTCCTGGTTAGTTGGGGTGAGGGCCTCAGATGTACAATGGAATCCGGTGAGGTGCAGGAACCAGAGAGAGGAGGGGAGCACCACTCATCAGACTGGTAAGAACCCAGGTTCAAATTCAGACCTGCTCAGGAGGCAGAAGAGCAGATTTATCTCCTCCCAGAGACCACTAGTTACCACCTTTTGGGGTGAAACTGGGTCTCTCAGGTTCAGAAAGCAGGGTGGAAGTATGGTGTTGTGAGAGTGTGCAAAAGTGTAAGGCTAAGACTCAGCCCAGCTGTGAAGCAAGGGAGGAGTCCCTATCCATGTGTCCATGGTGAACTCATAAGGTCAAGGGTGAGCCCTCACAGGGCCTCTGGTCCAGGGTTTATACAGATCACTAGGGCCAAAGAGACACCTAAATCCCCACAAGGAGAGTGGCCAGAAACAAATGAAGTGAGTGCTCTTCCAAAACCCCTCTGTGTCTGTCTGGCAGTCTGGTAACGGGAGGAAATGGGTGGAAATCAGAGTAAGAACACTCCCTTGGAGTGTATGGTTAATAACTTTAAAAAAGGGATTTAATGGAGACTATAGCGTTAAATCCTAACAAGATCAAGTTTCTTTGCGAAGTAGATTGGCTTGCTCTTGGTGTAGGCACCTGGAAGGGCCACTAGATAAAACTGTGACTAATGAAGTTTATAGAGTAATTGTAAAAAAGCCTGGACACCCAGAGCAATTTCCCTATATTGATTGCTGGCAGGATTTTAGTCTCAGCTGGCTTTACTTGGAAAAGTCCTGTGTAATTATGGTAGCTAGGGTGGCCACAGCTTCCAAGTGTAGAGAAAGCAAAGGAGCCTATACTGGCTGAGGAAACTGAGAAGGTACCACCACCCTATGTGCCACTCTATCCACCTCTGCCACCAGTGCCCAGTTCTGCACCCCTGCCTCTCACACTGGATGGGGAAACTCAAGGGACAGTCACACCTGTAAAATCTGGTTCAGAAACTTCTGGGGCCTCAATTCGCTTGATCTCCCTCAGTCCTATGGACTCTATATGCACTCTGAGTCCACCAGTGCTTACCCTGTATTACCCACTTGATCGAGAGTATCTGACTAGTCTCTGTGAGGACCTCTCCTCTCCTCAGACTCCAGATGCCCTGCGGATGCCCCTGAGGGAAGCTCAGAACCACATCTGTTATGACCAGGAAGGCCAAATACAAGGAGGAGGATGGACATTTGTCTATCAGCCCTTTACTACCACAGACCTCCTCAACTGGAAGCATCATACTCCCTCCTTCATGGAAAAGCCTCAGGCTCTGATTGATTTGATGCAGTTTATCATCCAGACTCACTAGCCCACCTGGACATATTGTTGACAGCTTCTCCTGACTTCAATACTGAAGAGTGATGCTGTATAATGCTTGAAGCTCTAAAGTGGCTAGAAGATCATGCCACTGAAGGCACCCTAAATGCCCAAGCATCTGCTCAGGACAGTTTCCCTGAACAAGACCCCCATTGGGACCCCAATAATAGCTGAGATTACCAGCAACTTGAATGGTATCGGAGACATTATTGGGAGACATGAATGAAAGAGGGAAAAAGGCCATGAACATGAGCAAAACATTAGAAGTACTCCAAGGGCCAGATGAGAGTCCCAGCCAATTCTATGAGGATTTATGTGAAGTATTTATATACCCTCTTTGACTGGGAAGTCACTGAAAAGCAGAGGATGATAAATACCACTTTTGTTGGCCAGGCCCAGAGAGACATAAGGTGAAAGTCGCAGAAGCTGGAGGGATTTGCTGGAATGAATGCTAGCCAGCTCCTGGAGTTGGCCACAAAGGTTTTTTATCAATCAAGATCAGGAGGCTAAGTGGGAGTCTTACAGGATATGAAAAAGAAAACGGAACTTCTTGCAGCAGTCCTTGGTGGATAGTCAGGTGAGCCCTGGCAAGCAAATCCAGGCAGAGACAGTGGCAATCCCCTAGAATGATGGCAGTGCCCCCAGGACACCTCTGCCCTAGGGAGGAACAATGTGCCTACTGTCATGAAGAAGGCATTGGAAAAATGAACATCCCAAGTGGACCAGGGACTCCCCAAAAGCCTCCTAGATTAGAGGCAGAGGCCAGCTCATTGAAGGAAACATCACCCCCCCCACACACAGGGGAGCCAGCCCCTGGGAGGAAAACTTTGTCAGTCTGGCAGGCCTGGAAGGCTGTTGGGAAAACTAGGACAGACAGGACTCCATTCTACTGGGCCCCAGGAGCCTGTGGTCCAAGTGAAATAGGGGGGCCATCCTGTTGATCTTATGGTATACACAGGTGCTGAACATTCAGTTTTGACTCAACCAGTGAGTCCTCTTTCCAATAAGAATACCATTATTATTGGGGTTACAGGGGACCTGATCTGCTACCCCTTCCTAATGGCTAGACAATGCAATGTAGGGAGTCATGAAGTAAGGTATGAATTCCTCTATCTCCCTGATTGCCCTGTGGGTCTGTTGGGCAGTGTCATAACAGTTAACTGAGGGCACAGATAACTTGATTCAGATGCACAGCAACCTTAAAGTTGAAAGGACCCAAGGCAAAGACTTTGATCTTTATGGTTCCACAAGAGGAGGAATGGTGGCTCTATGCCCCTGAAGGGAGGCCTCTTGTAATCCCTGAACTTCCCTTCAAGATTCCAGGTATATGGGCTGAAGATAACCTCCAAGTTCTGGCCCAAAGTATGCCCCCAGTAGTGGGAGAATTAAAGCTGGCAGTCACCCCCATCAGCCAGAAACAATACTTCATTCTTCGAAAGGCCCAGGTCAAAATTCACAAAAAGATTTGCAGACTCTTAAAATATGGAATCCTCTGACCTTGTCAGTTACCCTGGAGCACACCCTCATTACCAGTCCAGAAACTGGGACTGAGGAGTTTAGACCAGTTCAAGTCCTCTGGGCAGTAAATTCAGAAACTGTCACTTTGCACCCCATAGCTCCAAATCCACACACACTTTTTGCCAGCTGAGGCAAAGTTTTTTACCTGCCTAGATCTTCAAGACGCATTCTTCTGCATTTGCCTGGCCCCACAGAGCCAGCCCATTTTTGGCTTCCAATGGGAAAATCCCAACACTGGGGAAAAGGGATGGCTAACCTGGACTTGGTTATCACAATGTTTCAAAATTTATCCACTAGTTTTGGAACTGCCCTGGTATCTGACCTAAAAGCCTTCTCAGCTGACCAGCACAGCTGCACACTCCTCCAGTATGTAGATGACCACCTGCTGGCTGGACCAACTCAGGAGGACTGCATGGAAGGAACACTTCTTCTCCTTTCTCTTTTATGGGAGATAGAATACAGAGTCTCTAGGAAAAAGGCCCATATTTGCCAAAAGACTATCAAATACCTCAGCTGTCACTTTTCACAGGGGTAAAACAAGCTTAGCCCTTAGAGGAAACAGACTATATATTCCATCCCAGCCCCTAAGACCTGCAGGCAAATCAGAGAATTTTGGGAAGCTGCAGGTTTCTGTTGAATCTGGATCCTTAACTACTCCTTCTTGGTCAAACCCCTCTATAAGGCCACAAAGGGAGGAGAATGGGAGCCTTTGGCATGGGGAAGGGAAAAAAAGAAAGCATTTGAAGAAAAATTTTTAAAAGGTACTTATAAATGCCCCTGTACTGGGCCTGACAGATGTGATGAAGCCCTTCTTGCTATATGTACATGAGAGACTGGGAACAGGTATAGGAGTCTTGACTCAGCTGCTAGGTCCCTGCACTGGCCGGTAGCCTATTTACCAAAGTAACCTAATGCCATTTCTCAAGCCTGGCTGTTATGTCTTGTGCATTGGCAGCTACCATTGCCATGGTAACAGAAACAGATAAGCTCACCCTGGGGCAAGAACTCCCAATTCCTCACTCTGTCCTGAAACTCATGGAGTATAAGGGAAATTATTGGCTGACTAACTCTTAGATGGTCAAATACCAGAGCATGCTATGTGAAAATCTATGCATCCAGCTAGAGGTTGTTAAGACTTTAAACCTTTCCACCCTATTGTCAATTGACTCC